CTCACCCACCCACCCCTCAAAGCGCACGCGCGCACACACACACACACACACACACACACACACACACACACACGCACACACACACTCTTCAAGAAACGCACACCCCTCCCCTCCAATCCGCCAATCCCAGGTGATGGGGAGGTGCTGGCGGTGCTGGACCTGCGGAACGACCCCTCCCTCATCGAGGCCGGCATGGCGCGCGAGCTGGTCAACAGGCGCGCACGTTTGACCGCCGTTTGACCGGGGTTGACCCGCACCCGTCGCTGCGGGATAACTGCTTTGAGGGGCCCAGGCTGGCTGGCGTTGCGCCCTGGGATTCCACAACTGCACCAATCAGGGCGGCAGCCGGGGCTGTGTCACCGCGGGCTGACACTTGACGCCATCGCTGTACAAGGCTGGACGCGCCTGAGCACACATCATGATGACGTCACCGCCCCGCCGCCCGCCGCCCCCCCAGGTTCCAGCGGCTCCGGAAGAAGGCCGGCCTCACCGTGACGGATGCAGTCGAGCTGTACTACGAGCAGCTTCCCTCCCCCCCCTCGGCAGCTTCCCTCGCGGGTGACACGGCGGCCGACGGCGGGCAGGGCGCGGCGGCGGCGGAGGCGACGGAGGCGGTGACGGTGGCGGGGCTCGTGGAGCGGCAGGGGGGGTACCTGCGGGAGAGCCTCGGCCTGCTGCCGCTGCCGCTGACCGAGAAGCCGCCGGGAAGCCACGTGCTGGCGCGGGAGGAGACCAACATCGGAGGGAACGGGGGCGCGGCGTTTGCCGCGGTGCTGGCCGCGCCGAAGGGCAGCGCGACGGCGGTGGCGGCGGCGGCGGGGAGGGTGGGGCTACTGTCAGTGAGCTGAGCGCGGCGTTGGTAGGCCGCGGTGTGCGCTCTTCAACGCAAATCTTTTTTGAGGCGCGGATGCGAGTTTGGCAGGGGGCTGTCTTTGGATGCATCGCCGCAGATAACAGCGGCCGCAGCTGCAGCTGGATCTTGGGGCTGCGCCTTTGCAGCTGGCAGGCTCTCCCCTTGTTGCCCCGCCCGCCGGCTAGTGCTGGCCGCGGTGGCTCGGCCCCGTGTGGCTGGTGTGGGAACCCTTGTAAAACCGAGGGTGTCAGAACCCATTCAAAAATCCCCTATTGGGAGCGACGGCCTCGGCTCACCCCAGGATCGCCAGGAGGGAGGGTTCAGCTGCCGGGCGGCCCGCGGCGCGCAAGAGGGGGTGGGGGCGCAGGGGCCGGCTGAACTCAGCGTGCGACGCAGTGCAGGAAAGGCATTGACGGCGGGCTGCAGCTCGGAGTCGTTTCTGGCCGTCGTTCTTGGTCTGGTTTGCGCCATTTAGGCGCACGCGAATGTCGCTGGTAATGCAGAGGTGCCGCCGGGCGGGCGATCACCCGGTTGGCGATTTTGGGTGAAGAGTTTGGGTGCAGCCCCAAGGGCGAAAGGGGGCCGGTGTCGCTGGCGGGCTGTCCTGTCGGCAATGCGGGGCCGCCTTTCGGTTCTGACGCATTTGTGTATTGGGTCAAGCATCAGTTTGGATTCGAGTTCGGGGTTGCAAGGGGGCCGAGCGAGCCGAGTTGGCTTGACTGGGCAACTGCGCCTGGTGAGTCCGTGCGCCTGCGGTACCAGTGAGCAACACTCATGATCAGTTGTCGCAGCGCTCCACGCGATGTCCGCAATCAATTTATCAAAAGATACCGTTCGTATGTCGCATCAGTGCCGGCGGCTGTGGAGAGCACCAGTTTCTCGGTACGGCAAAATAGGACGCGCACATGGTCACCGCGGTGTGTGGAAACTGCGCGTGCGGGGCTTTCAGTGGAGTCTCGCACCAAAAAATGGATACTGTGATGTATTCCTTTATTTTTGACTTAGCATAACCTACATGATCAGCGAGCGCGCGCGCAACAGCCATACCTACTGGGCCCCGTTATAGACCCATATCAGTGCGTGAAATTCTGGTACACCAACATGCGTTGGATCGCGTTCGTGGCCGTCGTGGCGGTCGCGCTCGTCGCGGCGGCGGGCACCGCCGACGCCAAAGGGTCCAACTGCGTGTCGGGCGACCTCCCTTGCGCGTGCGCCGCGGCGGGCGGCAAGTGGCGCGACCTGAAGTCGCCCCTCGTGCCCACCTGCACCGTGGCCATCCGCCACCAGGGTGCGCAGCCGCGCCGCCGCCGCGCCCGCCGCACCCCGCTGGCGGGCCCGGCCGCCTGGCCGTTTTGAGCGACTCGGAAAACCGCCGCGGCGTCCCGGCGCTCCACACACACACACACACTCTCTCTCTCTCTCTCTCTCTCTCTCTCTCTCTTTCTGCCGCCCTTAGACACCACCACTTCCCCCAACAATAAAATGACCGGCAGGCGGCGAGCGCACTTTCAACATCTTCTTCCCGCGCACATACGACGCCGCCAAGAAGTACCCCGTGTGGGTCCACATGCACGGTGAGGTCACGATGACGTCACCACCTCGAGTTGGTCACCGCGCAGAGCCGACGTGGGAACGCGGCCGCCCGCGACCCGGCGGCGCGCGCGCGCGTGCGGATGGCGCCTCTGCCAGCGCGGCGGGCGCGGCGACCCTGCAGCCGGCCGGGGCCGTCGCAGCAGCCGCCGGCGCGGGCAACCTGACGCCGGCTTTGCAACCGACCCTTGACGCTCGAAACAAATGTTATTACACCCCTCCCCTCCCTCGCCCTCGGCCGCCAGGCGTGTACTGGTCCGACATGGGGGACATCAGCAAGCAGATGGGTTACACGGTGCCCGCGAGTGACGCCACCCCCGTCTGGGACACCCTGGCCACCGGGCCGCACCGTGATGACGTCATCATCGTGTACCCGCAGGCCACCAGCCCCGGCGGCGACCTCACCAAGCGCACGGTGAGAACTTCACGCGCGGAACTTTGGCTGCTGTTGGGGTACAGAGGCTCTCCAGCGCGCCGTGCGGCAAAGCGGGGGGCGGCCGGGGGTGCGTGGGAGCGCACTGCCTGCCCGCCGGCCAGGCGAGCTGCTTACAGCAGCAGACACCAGCAGCAGACACCAGCCCGTCGCGCGGCCAGCACGCCGACTCGTCCGCGCCCCGCGATGAAAACGAATCCGGCGGGCGCGCGCGCGCAGTTCTGGTCGCTGCCGTTCTGGCGCTGCTCCGTGGGCGCCTGCATCGACGCGGGCGTGGACGACGTGGGCTACATTGAGAAGATATTCAACCTGCTGCCCAAGAGGCTGAGCGTCGACAAGACCCGGGTGCGCATTTTTTGTGCGTGCGTGCATGCGTGCATGCGCGCGCGTGTGCATGTGTGTGCGTGTGTGTGCGTGTGTGTGCATGTGTGAGTGTGGGGGGGGGGGGCGTCAACAAAAGCACCTGCGGGACGACGGCGTTTGCGGGCCTTTGCCCGACGTGACGCGTGCATTGATGCAGATTACGAAGGGTGCACGATTTGGCTGAGGGCGGCGGCGGCGGGGCGGGCGCCGCCCGGGCTGCGCTGGTGGGATGGGGCTGCGAGCGCCCGCCCTCCACGACGCCAGGGGATGTTTGGGACGAGAAGACGGCGGCGGGATAGGGGGTCCGGCGCTGCCGGCGGCGGGCGCTTGCTGCAGACAGAGGAGCAGCTGGCCGAAGTTGCAGAGTCGCAGCTAGGTGTTCCAGACCCACCCATCCCCACACCCAAAATCAACCACAACCACTTTGTATCCCCCCCCCAAAAAAAACAGCCAACTCCCACGAGACCTGATCACCCACAACCAACCCCATCATGCCATGCCCCTCGCAGATCTACCTGACTGGGACCTCTGCGGGCGGCATGATGCTCGAGAACCTCCTCTGCACCAGCTCTGTCATCCCCAACAAGGTGAACTCAAACCTTGTCAGTCATTGTGTGGTGTTCATAGCTGTTGGTTGCTGTGGTTATCTCCAGATCTGAACAAAGCAGTTGGGATTTGTCATGTACACACACACACATGCACACACATGTACACACATGCACACACATGCACACACATGCACACACACACACACACACATGCGCGCGCATGCACTCCCCACGCTACCCCAGGTCGCCGCCGCCGTGGACATCATCGGAGGCATCGGCGCCCCCATGCGCGGCACCTGCCGCCCCGCTGGCAAGCGGCGCGTGCCCTTCCGCATCCTGCATGGCGAGGCTGACCAGGTGCTGCACTTTGACCAGTCAACGGACGTCGACGGGGCGCCCTTCCTCAGCACCAGTGAGCATTCTTTTGGGCTTGAAACTGCCTTTAGACTACTGGAGTTGCTGGAGGGATTTGAATACTTGCTCGCAATGGCCGATTGTTGACAATTGCATTGATTCTATCATTCCTGATGAAGCGTACTGCCAGTGGGGGCCAGAGGGACGACGCCCTGGCCTCTTGAGCGCCGTGCGTCGCGCGGGGCGGGCGCGCGAGCACGGTTCCTGTTGCGGCTCGGCTCTGGCGTGGGCGAGCGG